TTTGGTAAACACTTAAAATACGATGTTGCTTTCTTTCAAACCCACAATGAGGGCTCACTTTACCAAAGGCCAGAGCACTTGGCTCGTCCTTGTGCCAACTCAACTCAGACACACCACGCAATGCAGCTGAACTCCCAAGATGGGCCTTCCACCCCTAAATTTTCCACTTAAGCAAATTAATGATCAGTAAAGATGGGATACACCCAGAAGGCAGAAAACCACTTATTCAGCAAGTCAAAAATGGATACACTGGCACTGAAACTTATAGTTGAAAGTGAAATGCATCCTACAAAGGATACCAGATTTCAGCTGCCTGCTGACAGTAAATATTTCAGGGATGGCCCTAAGATGATTTCTACTGAGGACAAATAGTACCTTCTTGTTAAAAGCAAAGAGTCTGGCTTGATAGGGAATAGACAATCCTTTTATGTCTCTAATGGATTTATTCCCTTATGTTCAGTATTTCTCAGAAAGGATGCCACTTCCTCAGAGAATTCTGCTGCTCTACATTTTAAGGACTCAAATGTTCCAGTGAAGCTCAGCTTGAATTTCAGAAGCTGATAGAGAAAATCAAAAGAAAAGGAAAAAAAAAGAAAAAAAATGCTAAAATTCTTCTAACTAAAAGACAGCAGCAACCAGAAATCCAGAAACATCCTGATGGAGCTAACTGTAATCTCACATACTTTCTGGAAGTGGGTGTGTTTACGCTTTGCATGCCTATTTTTTCACATACAAAAGACAACAACTGACATGTATGTAACTTAAAGAGTTTGCCCTGTAGTCTTAACTATCCTCCCATAAACTTAACCAACAAAAATAGTAATTAATGCAGGTGTTTCATAATCTTCCAAAAATATTTTCTTAGTAAGAAAGTAACTAAGGATTGTTTTACCATTCAATAGAAAAAGATGGCTGTTTAATGTGGGGGTGTGCCAATATATATGAAAACTATTTTAAATGAATATTTTTGCAGTGGTCTGGAGGATCATGAGCCTAAATGTTGAACACTCCCTAGCTGCAAATTGGCTCTGCCTTGAATCACTGGGCAGCCCTGCAGAGAATAAATAGGTGGAGGAAAGAAAGTCAAAATTGAAATTATTTAATCACATTAACACTTACAATTCTCTACTTTTCAAGAAGATGTAATGCCCCAAATTAAATTTAGGACAGAGACAGACTTAGATGCACCCTTAGTAAGGTGCTACCTCAGAAGACAGCACAAAAGGCAGCAGCACAAACTGTGCAGGGGTGTCAAAGCCACCACTGAGTGTGCCCAGGATGAGCTCCTGGCCAGAGAGCATCTTCTGCAATTCTCAGGGAAAACGTCCTCCCATGGCAGCCAGGCCTTCGCCAGTCTTTTCTAACGCTAAAAAATTTAGACAAAACCAAGAATTTCTACTTTATATAAAACTGAGAGAAAACCTGGTTCACCAATAAAATCACGAAAGTATTGTAGGAAAAAACCCAATTTTTATGTGTTTGAGGTAACACAATATGCATTAAAGAAAGTGTAGCTACCTAGCTTAGACTGAGAAGAGTTTTACTGCAGTCCACACCTGGATATTTCATAATGCATGCAAATACAAGCTTTTAACATATGCCATGAGGAATTAAGTAACAACACAACCTTGAACTAAAATTAATATTGAAGCATGTAGAGACTTTTTTCAGAGGAGGAAAAAAAAGCCAAAAGAACCATGCTAAAAATATATAAAAATAAAAGGCAAATTGCTGTTGATTCCTAATAAATGGGAAATCTTACCCTGTATGATACCACAATTTGCTGAAAACTGGCACAAGACATTATTTAACCTTGGCCTAAAAGCAAGCATTGCTTGTTTGGTACAAATTATAATTGAAGATATCAGGGTTAGTGTAAGCTTCCCAACAAAGTTGTGCATTTGTGAGAGATACAAACATGTACTTTCTTTCTCATTTTAAACAGCTGCATATATAATTTAATATATATAATTTAATATATATAATTTAATATATATAATTTAGATGAAGTTTCCTTTCTAAAGCTAGCCTTGGAGCTGTCAATATCACCTGGCAGTGCCAGTGCTAGTGAATTCATACCAATGGCAAAAGCCAGATACTAAAGGAAATGCTATTTTGTTTACATTCTGGAGCCATCATTTAGCTATCAGGTAAAACACCACAAGATTTTTTCACAGAAATTAATTAGTCAGAAATGAAAAATTATCCGAGTTTTCTGTTCTGATTGATGTTATCTCAAAAATATTGGATCACATATTTGTTGACACTAAAAAGAGGATACAACCTGAGAAAACATTAAGAATACCCTCAAAAATGGTAGTATTGATGTTATTTCTAGCTAGCAACTTTTCTTTTTCTTAATTTCGTTAGGTGTCAGGAGATTGCTTCAAAAGCACCATGCAATTTATCTACACAGTTTTTAGTAATACCTAGATTTTGATCTCCTTCCATCTATAAATTCATCCTGCAATCCCACAATGCTAGCACAGAAATAGCATTCAAATTTGGAACTGAAAACCTGAATACAGTCATTTAAGTAATGCTGAAGTTGTTTGTATTTGACATTTCAGAATTGTGGCCAATGTACTTTAGGAAAGAAAGTGTCTTGCATTTGACATCAGAGTGACTGGCACACAAACAGCCACTGCAATCAGCATCACTCCCAAACAAAACTAATTGACAAGTAAAAAGTGATTGATGCTAGAAAGGCACAAGAGGAGTGACACACTTAGAAGAAAAACAGAAATACCATTTTTGAAAAGTACAAAAACATTCACTGAAAGACAGAAAATTATCATCGAAGCACACCACTATGAATGGTTAATGTGAAAATCTATCCTGAAAGAACTGGGGCACTAAAAGGAAACAAAACAAAGCAATCTGCTATCTTACTGTGTGAACAGAACCTTGACCAAAACACGCCTAAAGCACAGTTTCTAGTTCAGTAGCAACAACCCAGATCAAATCCCGATGCACACTGGCTATTCATCTGAAATACCACTACTGCAGCTGCTACATTAATCCAGCTTTTAGCACTATTTCCTCCTTCTCCTACACCCTTTGCTGTGTGCTAGGCACTCCCAAAAAAGGATGTGGCCAGCATGGTTAAGCCTTCAGGAAAAGAGCATTAGTGGCATTTAGATGATGTGTTTTCTTTTCCTTTCTTTTGCTTTACCAGTTGCAAACATCTTTATAAAACTAACAGTGAAACTGGTTTCATTTCAAAGGCTGATCATTTAACATATACTCAAGTGCTCTTTACATTTTTAATCTTGCCAAACATGCCTTTATAAACACGCATTGTATTACAGCAGCACTAATGATAAAATGCCAAAATGATATTTAGAACTTCATGAACGTGAAGCTACTGGCAACACCACAAATCAAACAACAAAGGACCAAGAGTACGTAGGGGCTTTTTTTTTTTTTTGTTAAAAATTCACATGCATAATAATTAGCATATAGTTTTCAACTGCAATGCTACTATTTTCATCCCAAATTTTACACCAGCACCTATTTCATCTTGGAGACACTACTGTTTGAGGATGGAAACATCTGATCTGTTGCAAATTACATACTATCAGTATTGAATTACAAAGATTTTGATTTTTTGGAGGAAAAGATAGGAGGAATATGTTCTTCTGAAAAGAGTAACTACTCCATATGCAGATTTACTGAGTAAAAGACATAGCAAAAGTAGAAGGTGTCTCACCAGTTTACCCACAGTCACATTTTAAGAATTAGATCCAAATTAAATTGAATGCAAAAACCCTTCACATTAGGTCCCAAGCAAAAAACAAAAAAACCAAAAGAACAGGCAGAAATAACACAGTTCTAATCTTCAATAGTCAAGGAAAACACTGTGGGTTTTTCCATAAAAAAATAAAACTCTCTCTAGCACAGTTCTTCAGCAAAACTAGTATACTTCAATATATTCCAGGAGTGATTTGCAGTTTAGCACCACCACACCTAGAGCTCTCTCATGAGGAGCCAGAATTGCAAATGAAATAAAACACAACCCAGTAACACACCACAACCAACCACAATACACCTCTTGGACAAAAAAAATCCCCTAACCCCCCTCCCTCCTCACATACATCTTTTTTTTTGCAGTGAAGTAGCCAAGTGGGAACAGTAAAAGGAGGCATGGTTAGTGCAGACTCTAATTAAGGGCGATAGATGGATGTATCAAACAAGCTCATTCTGCCAACTTAATGATTCAGCTTAAAGAACAGGGAGTTTTCCTCCTGACTTCTGTCAGAGTCAAGTACATCTGTCGAGTGCATCTGAAGATTCTGCCTCTTGTAAGTAACCTTTTTCTCTGCATACAAGAATTACCAAGGAGTTCAGGAGAGAATGATACATCAAAGAAAAGATAATGTTAGTTTTGTGGAAAAATCAATCGTGGTCTCCAAAAAAGCTAGACACAAATGATTTAATATTTTCCTGTGAACACAGTATTTTTTTTTATATATAAATACATACATACATACACACCAAAGTAAAGATAAGTACCACAATTTAAGTACTTCCATTCATTTAGCTGCCCTCACTTTATTTTAAAGATGATATCCTTAAGTCCAAAAGAAAATGCTGAAAAAAAATTCAAAGCAGATAGTGGTGTGTTTTCAGCTTCAGTATAAATCAAACAGATTAATGAAGAAACAGAATTTGACCTTTCACTAAACCTGTCTGAAGTTGATCACATTTCACAAACAGGTTTCCAGTTTTGCTTTTATAAATCATGGATCATTAAGTCTCAAACACAGCAGTGTGCAAGGTTCATGAGATGCATTTGGAGGTTCATTCATGCCTCTGACCATATGCACAAGTTTAGCAACAGCTCTAATAACCACAATATACACACAGATTGTTTCTATCATGCTCACTATCACAGCAAGCACTTGTCACCAACTTAAAATCTTCTACAAGGAACTAGTTCCACTCCATCCAGTAACTCTCCATAACTCCAACAGGAATTTGCAGCTCTAATGACTTACCTGTGAACATAATGCAACTGATGAACTGAATCGATGGCTATCACCATTTCAGCCAAATAAAAACGAGCCATATCTTCAGGGAGTCTGTCCTCAAACTTGCTGAGCAATGTAAGCAGGTCCCCTCCAACATAGTAATCCATAACCAGGTACTGTGGAGTGGGAACGATAAGAGAACAGAGTGAGGGGAGAAAAAAAAAATCACAATTTATTGAGTGAATAAAAGACTAAATACTCTTTGAAGCATAAAAATTATTTCACTGCAAAAATTATTACAGACATAGAAAATACTAACCAAGATGCTTAGGTGCTCTGAAAACAGTAGTCAGTTCAGCTGCAGTTCAACATTTAGCCTACTTAAATATTTTTCATATTTATACCTCCCCAAATATAGTAAGCCTCATGACAAAATAGGATCAACTTCATCCACAGTCCCAAACAAGAAATATTTAGAGCCTCTGGATTCCCTTATGAAAACAATGCCCTTTGTTAAAATGCTAAAGGAGTAAAGGATTGGAGTAGAGATATATAAAAATGAAAGATGTGTGTTAATCTGCAATCTCATTTACATTGCCCTAATTTCCAAGGCTTTCCCTTCCCTTTTTTCCTACCATCTTCTTTTCCCATTAAACGAATTACTTTGGAGAGTAAAGTTTTTACACTACTCAGATTAAGGCAAATTCTGAGAGACTTCCAGTGACCCACAGCATAATTCCAGAAACTGTTGACATTACACATGATACAGGACCTGGCAACATAAAATACAACATGTCACCTTCTCTAATTGAAAGGATGGAGAAAAATATTGATTTCTTATGTATTAATGAAACATAAAACTTGCTAGCCATAAAAGTGGATGCAAAGACTTTAAAGAAATCAGAGCCTTACTGCATTTTACTATGTTTACAGAATAAAATGCCAGTTCTTTTAGCTACATAGTTAAAATTACTGGAAAAAGTGAAACTTAAGTGTGAAACTCAGGATTAATATATTTTAGTTTAGTTTAGTTTGTTTTTAATTATGAAACAGCACCCGAAAGTGCAAATGGGGGAAAGAAAAAAAATCAAACGAATTATAAACATTCTAATTTAACATGCACAGCTAAGACATTACTTTCAAACATCATTGTGGACAAGTTAATTAGAATCTTAGACTATCCTGAGCTGGAAGGGACCTACTAGGATCATCAAAGTCCAGCTCCTGGCCCTCCACAGGACAGCCTCAAGAATCAAATAATGTCCCTGAGAATAAATTTCCACTAGATTATCTGAAAGATTTTGCTTAGAGCTCCAGTCTGTTTCCAGGAAGGTAGCCTATGTGCATTTGAAGCAGTGATTCTTAAGAAGACCATAAATTATAAAAAAATATTGAGAATGTAATAATCTCAATTTGTTTCTTTAAAATTCTGAAAACACAACCTAAAGGAACTACTCATATTAGTTCCCCTAACATGCTTGCCTTTCCCATTTTCAGAAAAATACACTAAAATACTAAAGAAAAAAATCAGCAAAATTATGGCAGCTCTATGGAAGATGAGGGGCAGGCAGAAATCTTACACCTGTTTCTTTTCCCTCATATTTTCCATAACAATAAAGGTGATGAACAAAGATTTTAACAGCTTGATACAGAATAACATGGTCATCCTCATTGATTCCAAGTGCATAAGAAATCACAAAAGGCATTTCCACAAGATTTTAAATGTGTTGATAGTCAAATTTTCATCTGTTGCTTTGTGACAGGAATAATAAGCTTCTTAAATTATGCTTGCAATCTTTATAGAAGATGAGTAACTTCTATTCAGTGGTGCTCTTACACTCCTTCTGGAACAAGAATGATTGTATTATTTTCTTGTGTTTTACAATTTTAGAAAATGCATTAAGCCTTTGGAACTTCACATATTGATTATTAAGTGACGCATTGTACAGACATCTCCAAAAGCTGAATTTATTGTTTTGAAAGTATATTGAAAAAAAACCCAGCTCTTCAGATTCTCCCAACTGATGTAGGATCTCTGCACTCATTCTTCTGAATTTTTAAAACCTCTGCAACTCAGCTACTGGATATAGAAAAACAATGGAATTTTGGCTCTTAAAACACAGGATTCTGGACCTTCTCCTATGTTTGCAAGAACAACATAATAGCCTTACAACACAGAAACCTTCACCTCCCTGAATAAGCCAACACTTAAATTGTAACCCAGGGTATTAAGCTGTGCAAATGAAGTTAAATACATGTGTAGGAATGACAGTTAAATCCAAAAACTCAATTTTCCATTAAAAAATTCTGTAAAATATCCACGTCCTTATAAAAAATATGGTTTTTTTTAAAGTTTTGAAAGAATACTTTCTAAATATACAAAAGTCATCTAAATCTACCCATGTCTCAAATACTTCTCAAAATACTACTGTAGGACAGCATCATCTTTCCAAGAGAAAGAAAAAGCAGAGATTTCAGAACTGTAAATTCTAGTAACTAACGGAGGCTCAACACAAACATTTAATCCTAAATCACGGATTCATTTCATAGAAGGGAACTTTTCAGACCTCATCTGCTCAGCTAGGGTCAGCTAGAAAAGGCTGATGATGGCTGTCTCCAGCTGGGGTTTGAGTATCTCCCAATAAAGAAGGGTTTTCTTGTTTTATGACGAAACTCTATGTATTTCAGGTTGTGTCCACTGGCTCCTGCCTTCTCCCCAGGTACATCGAGAGAATCCAGCTCCCTTGTCTTGATTCCCTCTATTGGGTGTTTGCACACATTGATGATAATCCCCCTTTCCATCCTACATTTATTTGGGATGAAGAATCCCAGCTCCCTGTACAGGAAGGATGATTCAGTGTCTCAATCATCTTCCTGGCCTCGCAATGGACTCGCAGTAGTTCTATCTCTCTTTTGTCCTGGGGGGCTCAGACCTGTACACAGCACTTCAGGTGCAGCCGGGGCAGGGCTGAGCAGAGAGGAAGGACCTCCCCCGACCTGCTGGCAACCCTCTTCCTTGCAGCCCAGAATACTCCTGGCCTATTCTACTGTGGGAGTGCATTGCTGGCTCATGTGATGCCTCGGTTAAGCTTGTTACCCTCCAGGACCTCGAGTAAAGCTGCTTTCCAATCACCCGGCCCCCAGCATGTACTGGGTTTCTTCTATTCCACCCCAGGTGCAGGGCACTGCCTTTCCCTTTGTTGAAATAAATGAGATTTCACTCTCCAGTTTGTTGAGGTCCATCTCAAGGCAAGCAACAGTCGCTGCACAACCACATCTACTGCTCAATCTACACGGATTTTTTTAAAAGGCCACTTGTGTTACACATGATTTTAATAAAAAGCATATGGAGAACTAGTGATGATACAAACTCCCAGTATTACTGATATTTTGCCCAGCAGGCTGCAAAACTAGCTCCTGTCAGCATACTATCAAAGATGAAGAACAGAACCTGCTCTGCGCTTAGTGAAAACAAGGAAACTGGCAAGAATAAAGCAAATTCTAGCAAGCTGCTCTGGAATATATAATATTTTCCTTGAAATGTTGTTAATGATAAGATCGAAATTACACAAAACATGAGATTATTTTTACTGTCCACATTTACAAAGCAGGAAGCTGGCTGGGAGGTATTTACGCCAATCACTGGATTTATGAATGCAGAGCCCAGTTTCTAAACAAATCTACCAAAATCCATGGATCCCCAGGCATCTGAACTGATAAAAGAAAGGGCAATATAATGGCAAAAAACACTGCAAGTCTGCAAGAGTTGCATGTATAGCACTTTTGTACTGGACAGACTGGGAGGAAAAAATTACTGTGGCTGTATAGTAGATTTTTTAACAATTATTAAAATTGCTCATGACAGAGAACCCAAAACACAGGGCAATAAACCCCAAATAATCGAAAGCCATCAGTGAGTAGTTGTTTACTTCTTCAGGCATAAATATTACTGACACTATATCACAATCAAAACATTTTTGAAGTGGGAAAGATTTCATAGAAAATTGGCCACTTTTCCTCATATTGGTTTCTTTTTGCGAGTCATTCAAAATACTCAAAAATTAAATGACATAAAAGAGACATTTTAATCCACAACTACAGCTTCCAACCCTTATTTAGGAGAATTTAGCATCATTCTTCCATGCTGTAATAATGTTTTATTGTTTTGTGACAGCTTAATGAGCTTAAGTCCTCAAAATAGTAAGTTGTTTCAAAACAGGGCTACTCCCAATTTCTCTCTGTAGAACAGTAATCAGTATGGCTAATCATAAAAAATTAGAATAAAATAGAAAATCTATGTTAGTAAGTGCACTTTTAATTTTATGAATCCAATTAAACTGGAATGACAAATTGTAAGAAAGAATGTGCAGATAGACCAAGGTTTATCAACAAATGCAAAGTGGTTTAGAAAACAAACCTCCCTTTCAGAGGTATTTATAGGAAAACTTTCAAGGTTTCTGACCAGTCTCCACTCTTCAGAATTTTATGGAAAAAGCACAGATCCTCACATGGTCTGTATGGTCCAGAACACAAAACTAAAAAAATAAACTACTTTTCTGTCCCAAACCACAAACAAGACTTTGCATTTCCACACAGATATATATATATATATATATATATATATATGTATATAAAAGCAACACTCACTAAATAATTTTCATCCTGGAATGCATAATGTAATGTTGTGATCCACTGGTTATCTCCATTCACTAACACGTCTCTCTCTTCTCGAAAACAGGCTGTCTGAAGGGGAGAAAAATAATTATAGGCTTCAGGTAAAATAAGTAAAGAAAAACATTTAGCAAGTTGATTGTGTTTTGACATTATATTTTTGGGGAAAAATTCAAAACTGCCTCTCAGTTATAAAGTCATTTAACATACTATCCAAACATGACAAAATCTAAAAAAAAAATAGATATGAGAAGAGGCCACCTTCTTCAAATTTAAACAGTTGAACTTTTCTGTACTGTTAAATGAGGCAAAGGGATAAATAAGCTAAATCGTCTAAAATGTCAAAATCTTGATGTATCAATGACAGAATAGCAATGTATGATTAAGAAAATCAGTAATGGCATTAGATAATTGTAACTGTACTAGGAGTCAGAGAGCTGGAATCTGGAGTCTTGTGTTGTTTTATCTCATCATGCTGTTAGCTGAGTTTTACACTTGAGTTTTCACATAAGATTCTTTTCATTTGAAACAGGCTGCCAATAACTCCACGTAGTCATCACTTGATAATCATTAACCACTTTCTCCACACCCCTTGCTCAGGAAAAGCAGGGAGAAGTGAATACTGCTCCTGCCAGATATAAGCTGCTGATCAGACATCCCAAGAGGTTTCCCTTCAAAACACTGGAAAGAAAAACAGGAGGCAGGAGGTGCCTTCATATCAAGTGGAACAGAGGAGGAACAAGAACTGTCAACAAATGTTTTAATTGTGGAACACAGGTTTGTATGAAACAAAAGAAGATAAAATGAGAAGAAAATAATCAAGTGCAAAAATGCAAGGCTTTTAATCCAATGAAGGTCTTGCAACCTGCCCTGAGTAGTGAAGAAAATACCTCAACAGAAACAACTTTGCAGAATAACAGACAAAAATGGCCAAACAGATGAAAAGCCAAAAAGAAACTGTAGCAAAGAAATCCCATAAACATTTGGAAGGGAGTGAGATCTCAAGTGAATAGCACAAGAAAACAAAAGGTTCCAAATAACAAAGCCAACACACAATTTTGTTCAGAAAAAAAAGATCTAAAAGACAGCGCTAAGGAAAGAATAATATTGTATAGGCTTTATTTAGAAGGCAGATGGAGAGCTTGAGAAAAACACAGGCCATGTTTTATTCCAGCACACTCTGCTCTTCACGAAACATCACGGATGTTTCATCATTTTGAACCCTGCTCTCTCTTCCATCTTTCAGACAGCTAAGTTTAAAAGAAATTCAGACTTTGCTTTTTATTTTTTCAGTTTGATTTCCAAATCCAATAGGAAAATAGCAGAACTCTGTCACGGCTTTTGATGGCTTTTTGATTTAGAAAGCGAAGAATGAAAATTGAAATATCATTTGAGATTAAGATATGCACAAGAACACATGCACCAAAAACAGAGCAGCAAGTAACTTCCTCCTCCAAGCAAATGAACCATCACAAGTCCTTTTTCTTGGTGAATACAGTGAGTAAAAACTATGCAGACCGGGAAAAATTAAGACAACATATTTCAATCATTGCACAATGCAGGCGATAAATCAGTGGAATTTAAGAAAATAGCAAGACATACTTAAATACCTTCAAAGGTTATTGAATGAAAAATAGACTTGGAGTAGGAGAATGAGCACGGATCATCTTCAGAAGGAAGAAAAACTGTTCCATGCTTCAGCTTGATTTTTTTCCTTCCTTGTTTGTAAACTCTTGTCATATTTCCGAGAGAAATACCTATAAACTCTCGCTTTCACGAGGATAAGTAACAGGTAGTTTCTCTACTTGTTATGACAAAATTCATAGGATTAGTTACAAGAGAGTTTATATAATTCCACTTGTTTTTGCCATGATTTGACAAAAGACTGTGCATTCCTTGAGCACTCCAGACACCCACCTCTGGGCAGCATGCCTAGAACTGAAGCAACAGCTACTATCACAGTAGATCACAGCTGAGGCAGCAACAGCCAGAGTTGAAGTGGTAAAAAAACCCAAAACAACAACAACAACAAGAGATAGTAGCAGTGGTTCTTTTAATTACTATTACATGGCTCAACCAGGCTTTTTTAAAATGAAGCCCTTTTTTGTGCCTTCCATGATTCCAGCATTACATTTCATCTTCCCTAGGCAGTCTCCTTCAACTGTTGGCAGAGGCCTCCAGAGGTCACCTGATCCAACTCTGTCACAGCAAAGCCAACTCAGTGCTGTGGTTGTGTCTCTCTGTGCTGTACGTGGCCTTCAATCAGCAAAGAATGTGACCTGCTCTGCTGTTGGGTGCTCCTGCTCTCACAGCTCAGAGTCTGCACCTGCTGGGGGTGCTGACTGCTTCCATGCTGCACAGTATTTGTCCTGGTCTCTCCCGAGCCCCATCTGGCACCAGCACAGCACGCTCTAAGTAACTCTAATGTAACTCTAAGTGACTGTCAACGCTCAGGGTAACAGGTCTGGGAGTGTAACAGCAAGATGTCACACGCTTTCAGGTATTCCTTGTATCAGTCATGTTCCCTGTTCTACATCCCACCTCAACAGTGGCAAGTATTTGGAAAATTTATGATCTGTATTATACAAAAAAAACCCATGGACTTTGCAACCTGTATAATTTTATCTTAACAAAGTTTTTGCTTTCAGAGCTTGCAGTCATCAACCTTAATCTGGCATTCTCAAGCCTCTTTTGAGTACATCCTCTCTCTTTTTCCTTTTACAAATGATTCCCACTTCCCACACTGTTGATACAAAGGTATATGAACACGTAGATCCATCTAAATGCTTGTCTTGTGTTTTTGGACTGCACAATTTTCCTGTGTACCTCAGTATTAGAGCCACACGCTGCTAACAGAGCCAAAATGGGTCATCTTCCCCATCAGTAGTAAGAAGAGAATTCATGAATGTCTAAAAATGACAGGTTACAGTTGCTAAAGGTCATGCTTTATAATGCATTTTCACTCCAGATGGTTCTTTCCACTATATACCCATGGGTTACAAATACATGGAAAAACATAGCTGTAATTCTTTTTAGGCTAACGGTTCAGACTTTGAGAAATTCAGCTGGACCCATGGGAAGAATATTTTTAATACCTTGCATAGAGAAAAAATTTTGAAACCTATTTATAACTGCATGTTAATGAAAAGAAACAATTTTCAAACTCACTTTAAAAGGGTACATTTAAAAATAGAGTGAAGCTTTATTCCTGGTCTTTTCTTTTTCACTGAAATGACATTTGTGTTGGAAATACCTCTTCGTATCAAGACTACTGCCAGATTGCTCAGTATCTGAATAATTTCTGGATAAAAAGGAAACACACTGTGCACATCTAACCACAATCTGCAAGCCATTTATACTTCTAAATGTGATAACATTTTCATTAAAAGAGACAGGATGTGCAGACATCAGAAATTGGCTTTAATTTGTCTGAATACATTTTTTTAAAAGTGTGATGGTTTCCCATTGATCTCACTTCCTACCAAGATGTAATTAAAACATAAATGCGGAAATCAGAATAAACTTGGAAGCAGTTGAACAGCAAGGCAGCCTGAGAGCAGCAAAGTTGAGGTCTCAGATAAAAATTAGATATTTATGTGTATTTTTAGTATGCATAGATGAAGAATTTCAAAGCAAATTAGACAGCTAGATACATGTTCCATCTAAAATTAATACACAAGTATTCAGGTGCAGGTTGCATTTTATAAGCTTCCTTTCAAAGTAATCCAGGGAAAATATATCAAGGACTTTATGAAGAGCAGAGTTGCATAATAAAAGTAGGCAGCAAAGGCAAAAGTAAGGCTGGTAAAAGGGCTGCTCCACATTTTTCAGACACAAAATGGACTCCAGCTATAAAGAGGAACTTTTTATCACATATTTTTGCAGATGAACATTTTTAGGAAACATGCACTCTAATTAGTTAGAAACTTTTATCTTTCTGATTTTTCAGTCTACTCATTGGGCCATTACTAAGTTCTAACTAATGATAAACTAACAGGCTTGATGAGCTACAGCTCAGCAATTACCTTCTTATACTCAGTAACTACCTTCCAGCATGCAAAATACTTGCCAAAGACTACATTCCCAAATGGAACAAATGCATTAAAAGATCACTTGTGTAGCTTGTAATTCTTAGGCAATTACAGAAAAGGCCTAATGTCAAGAATATTCAGCCCCACAGAAGTCAAGATTCCAGGCCATTTAAACCCTTCTGATGAATTGCTTTAAGCTTATTTAATATTATTATTTATACTGCCAGTAAATAGTGAAGCACTTCCTCCATCCCTCTAATAAACATGGAAACTTGTGGACAGAGCAATGACAATGCAGCAGAGTAAGAGGGGACACAATCATGGAAAACATTACTGTAATCTTACTTCTGCTCTCTTCAGCATCTCCCACTTATTAAGTATCTTCATGGCAAAAACCTTATCTGCATTTTTCAGTTTTACTACTGCAACCTGGAAAAGAGAAATGAAAGGTAAATAAGTTAAAACAAGAAAATGCATATTGTTTTCATTTTTATGTAACCTTGCAGTTTTGGAGGTTTTCTCCCGAGTGCTCTGGAAGCATTTTTACTATGCATACAATACCACACCATCAAGACAGAAACACCTCAATAATACAGGAAAGTTCCAAGTCTACTGTAAGCTTTCGTTACCCATCAGACTTTCTTTCCCTATGTATAATTTTTTCTACGTGATTGTCAACGAAAACTGGCATTTCTGACCATCCACACTTCCTGCTCCATCACAGCACCATGAAGCTCTTCCTGGCTGTATGCTTTATATTCCTGCACTTCAGTGATACACAATAATTAAATATCAGAGCCCTCAAGAAAAAGTAACAGTGTAGCAAATTCTAAATCAAGTGAAACAATGTGGTTTTGGTTTTAGTCACAAATAAAACTGTGGATTTTGCCATAAAACAACTTCCATTCTCGTTTCTAATAATGCACTAGATTTTCTTCAGAGGGAATGACTTCACATTTTTTCACCTGAAGTTCAACGAGCTCTTTATCATGTCTGTTGTAAGCATCAGGGAAACAATGAAATGCACAATTTCTAGAGAAGAAAAATTTAACTAAACAAGCCTACCCAGCTGCCCCTCTTCCTCTCATAGCTTCTGAAACCTTAGATGCCATAGGCCTCTGTAATAATAAATTAACTAAGTTCACTGACACCATCCTTTCCTGAGAATATTAGTTTTGTTTAGCTATAATATAAGCTAACATAGAATATTTTTAGTAAAGAGGGAGGGAAGAAGTTTACACAAACTTATTTTCACAGTTCAGGCTTCCCTGGGTATGGAAAGCTCAGTGTCTTAATCAAAATGGGTATGAAAGTGCCACAAACTCAAAGCTGCTGATCAGAACTAGACCAGCGCTATCATCCCAACTATAGAAAAGTTCAATAATCGCTACATTTTAACAACCATTCTCCAGCTATCCAGTTCTGCCTCTTTCTTTTCAAAGGAATCTTAAAACTAAAGCAGATAAAAGTTTATTTCTGTTTGCATCTGGTTACAAACCAACATGCTGTCACAAAGATTATCATCATCTTCATCCTGCAGGCCAGTGACAAAAAAAATACGAAGGTTGAATCCTACATTCCTTTCACCTCTTTCATAATCAGTAAACCAGCAATGTGTGAAGACAGTGACAACAGAAAAGAAAATACAGGATCAGACAGTTTGAAGAAAGTGTCATGCAAACCTCTTTCAAACATCTTCAAATGTGTCATCAGCTGCAACAGCTTCACAAAGGAGGCAAAAGCACAGGTTGAAGGATTGCAAGACTCTGATGTCTAAACCAACGTGTATCTCACACTGTAGCTCTTGCCTAGCTATAGATTCAGAGAGCAAGCAGCTGTCACTTCCCATCTGTGCATTATCAGCCCTGCTCTTGACACTGCTGCCTTCTGGGGTTGCAGGGGGAGGGAGTGGTGGGGAGATAAAAAGAGGCGAGAAGACAGAAAGGGACTACATTTATTTGTTTAAACTAGTTTATGGACTGAAATTTTTAAAGGTTACCTCACATAAGGTTCAAGTTCAGATTTAGAATTCGTTAAGAAACTTTCAGATTTGAAAAACAAAAATGGATTATTACTTTAGCCTATGATATAATAATTTTAATTCATAAATAATGTTTGCTTTGCTGTGTATGGTAATCCAAGACCGAGAACTACAATTTTTTTTTTGAGAGGAAGATGAATCCTCTGCAGTGATACATAGCCCAGGGTGTGGATTCGATCTTGATTATTCTTTTGCTTTACCAACTAAATCTTAATTAGGAGCTCTGGTGAGCATCAGTTTCTAATGAGAAATGGCAGGAGGAGAAAGCCTTAACGTTGCACCTAGTCAGTATTCAAACTGTATCCTACAGAACTTGGATGACAGGGACACCCCCGGTGATACAGCCTGCAGTACGAAGCTACAATTAGTTGGGCCCCAAAGACCTTTAAGGGTTTTGGGACTCTTGCAGGGAAAAATTAAAAGGCTGCTGCTCCTAAAGCTGAGTAGCTCCCTGCTGCCCAGCATGGAAAGTAAATTTTTCCCCACCATTAACCATTGGACTACAGGCAGCCAGAGGCATAAGACAATACAAGTATTTCAAGGCCAATTTCAGGATTTTATTTCTTGCCTGTAGCATGCTCAGTGCAAGGCTGTGTTATTCTGCAAAGGATTTGGGTATTGAAAGACACACAGTAAGACTGCTCAGCTGCCTAAATTTCCAGTCTCCTATTCAGCATCCACTTGGACACAACTGCAGGAGCTACAGCACTGCCTTTGGTGAAGATTTGGAACACAGGTCTTCTGTGGCCTGAACAAGGGCTTGGTATCTTCTGCAAATGTGTAACAGCATTGAAGAGTGACTAAAGAAGAAAAATAGACTCATGTTTACCAGCTGTGTTTACAATTAGTCTGAAGCTTTTAGTCTGTGAAAGCCATTAATGTTATTCCATATCAATAACCACCACACACAAAAGATCACAGACATCACCATCATCTTTCTGCAATCACAGCATATTTTTGGGGGTGTCTCAGTGCTTTATGAAAGTAAATTCTAAAATGCTTATTCCAAGACCGTGAAAGTAAAACCGATACTTCAGCAATGAACAGACTGATGTAGTTTCTAATTGCAACAAAAAAAATTCTGAATCATGATTTCAAACCCAGGCAGTGTTTACATATACAGAGTATTTACTACCTACACAAAGGCACAAATACACACAGAGTTTTGTTTTGATCTTTTTCCTTCCCCAGCGAAGCTGTCAAGATTGAAGAAAGAGTAATCATTCCTGTCCTAGTGATCCTGAAGTGTCTTGCCACTGGAACTTCTTAAAATCAGACTTTTTAAAGGTAGGGTTTTTTTAAAAAAAAATTATTTTCCTGTGAGCAACCAAAAAAAAAAAAAAAAAAGATTGGTATGTGCTGATGTAAACATCTTGGGTTTAGTCAGATATGAAGTTTTTTTCCCAGTCTTCCAACCATTTTCCATATTTCCCACAAACAGCAGTCTAATTTGGCATGCTGTCAGACACCTTCTGTCCCAAGCTTGGCTATTTGTCTCTATAGTATTTATCTGTGCTTTCCCTTTGCTTAGAAAGCAATAGCCTTATACAGAAAAAAAACAAGAACAGAAGCTATAAAAGTTGAAATAAAGAGAAAAAGAAAAAAGAAGAACAATAAAAGTAGAAAAGAAGATTCACCATTGGTTTTCTTGTCCAGCAAGAACAAGCAGACAAGAAAGAATGTTACTGTTCATAACTGTATGACAAAAATTAGGAGTAACTAGCTCATTCTTAAGCTACAAAATTCATCATCTTCAAAATATCAACAACATAACAACCTAGTATTTGCTAGCATAAGCATGCACAGATTTTTTTTTTTTTCAAAGCTGTAACAGAATCAACTGAAAATTCTGGTATTAGATAGAACTTTCACTAGGCTGCATTTTTATACTGCTGAGGGACACCACTAAGAGCTGTTGCCCAGTTGCTTCACCTTTCCTAGAAGCATTTTTCAGCTCCCAAGTTTAAAGTCTTTTTGTTTTGAGTTAGGTTTTTCAAACCCTGCTGCTCAAAGCCAGCACAAAGAAACACTTGAAGCCCACATTATTAATTTTACCATGATAATCCTGCTCCTCCCCCAAGCAAAACATCTGTGTTTTCTAAAGACAGCACTCTTACACATAATTGTAAATAAGTAAATGTATGCATGCAGAGGGAATGGGCATGTGAATAATCTGACAAAAAGGAAGCCTTCTCAGAAGGCAAAAAAAAGGGTTTGAGAAAAACAAAACTAGGAGCAATGAACTCTTACAGTTATAAGCAGTAACTAGTTTAAACTACTTTTTCTCTGCATTAAACTTGTAAAAACAAAAAGAGAAATATTTCTTGACTATGCAAATTGAAGAAATTGAGTAGCGTAAAATCAAAATAAGAACAAGTCTGAGACTGTGCCAAAGAAAACTTGCACTAACTTTGTAGTCTACAGAATTTCAGAATTATGTTGTTTCAGGAGACAAAAATTACCCCTCCCAGTAACCTAGAGCAACCTTGGTCTCATTTATAGTTTGCTGGAAAGAAAATGCATTCTTTCAGATTTCTTAATCTGTCTCAGGAAATACAAGTATTGTGCAATTTAATATTAATATAGCTTTTTGTAGTTTAAGTAGCAGTAAAATTTGGTGGTCCTTTTTTCAATCTTGCTCAGATATTTACTGGTTATTTTACAGGAAAATTAGCAATTTCACATAGAACTTATTTTCTTAGACAAAATCGGTGTAGAACTTGCCTTTGCTAAACTAGTAAGACATATATCCTTCCAAATATTTATTAAGTCCTACTTTAAGAACATAAAAACCCAAACATCCTCACTGAAAGAACTTCAGTTTTCCCCTTCCTGAAGATTTTGACAATTAATAGAGTCATACTATCTTCCTCAGATAAGGAATTAGAAAGAAACACTGTTCCTAGAAGAGAAGAACTAACCAATTACACAGACTGTCCCCAGAAGAGGACGGGGAAAGTTACATTCTCACTGCTCATGGGATGATTCACCACAAAGAACTTCCTGAGAAAGAACGACAGTTTCTTTGCGGTTTAGCTGCTGTGGAGTTTGATGCTGATTTAGCAGACAAAAATGACTTTTCTTAAAAACACAGCATAAGGTAGGTTTCATGTATGATTCTTCTCACAAGAAGGCACCAACATCAGTGATTTTTCTTATATTTAACACAATCTGTACATGAACTCAGCTGCAACTCCTATGGTAGCACTGACCAAGGCTAATCTTTTTAAGCAGAAGTGTTTACATCGAAATGGAGATTGCAACATTCTCTGTGGCAGAGGTTTAGACTAGAGATAAATTATCCATGTGTAACTTCAGCCACCAGTCTCCTTTATAAAGAAGCTTTACTCCAGATGGAGCGAAACCAAGAGTGATAAAGCAGCTAAATAAATACCACTTTTTTTGTTATTTTTACAGCTGCCCAATGATTATATTTGCACATAGGTATCTGAGTATGTAGTGGCACACACTACAGTAAAAATTCCTCTTCCTTACATACTACCTACAGGAGTCTGCTCATCTATAATCACAGACTAGCAAAGTCTGATTTTTCACTAAAGATGCGAGCATGTAAGTGAACCTGAGAACAGCTCTTCTATGTCACATGCCAGAGCCTCCAGAAATCCTCTCCTATCAAAGGAATTTCCATTTCCAAAGATTTTTTGGATCAAAAAAAATCTTTTTTCTTAGTGTATTTTCGGGAAGTATGGAGTACCTCCTGTAGAAGCTTTACACACTACCCACAGCTGCAGTGTATTTGGCTATGAAAAACTCAAGGCACTGCTGTACATTAGACTGCTCTTCCTACTTTGTACTGCATGAAAAACAAAGCTCATGCACCCAAAAGAATTAAGAAAAATGGGGCAGAAAGCTAACATTTTAAAGTTTCCTTGATCTAGTTATCAACAGACTTGTCTGGCAACTTCAAATTAAGAGTTTAATCAGAAGCAGCAGAAAATTGTATGGTTTGATAGTAGGTGTCTACTGAAAACGGAAATAACATCTGCTGAAGTCCTTAAAAGAAATACAGGAAAAATATTCTAATGTTCATTAAAATAGGAAACTAAATGACAGGAAAAGAGAGATTTCTCTGTGTTGTTGGAATGTCAGTGCCAATATCTGGCTATTTAAGCTGCTGAAAACTACTTTCAGGCTATATAATTATTGGGAAAATTAGCAATTATTAGATCTCTATACCATCAGTTACACACTGGCCTCCACCTCCTGACTGGAAAGAATTAGTCAAGATTGATTTATCCTCAGACAGCTGAAACATGGTCTCTTAATCCATGTGAGCCTGCCTGCTCTCAAAATTCACATGACTTAAAAAGAGCTGTCAAAGAATGTATAAAACAAGATGTACTTGCAGCAAACATTAGGTGGGCCTATAATATCTATTATGGCTAAATAACATAAAAGCCTGTGTATCAGTATATTGTTATTAACTGTTTCTCCTCAGTGCTGCAGGTTTGCAAGAGAATTATCCAAACCCTTCCACGTCCTTCTCATACATACCTCTCCAAAGGCTCCTCGACCAATCACCTTCAGAATCTCAAAATCTTCTTTATGTAGTCGCATCTGTTTCACTTTAGATGTAAAAGGTTTGGCTGAAACAAAGGGAAAAAAAGAATAATTTTTAAAAAACCAAAAAACCCACACAAAAATCAAAAAACAAGGTAACAGTAACACAAAAGAGATGCAATTACAGACCTAAAAACAAGGGATCATTTTGCTTATATACCTGTATATCCTAAAGGAATATAATCAAGTTTAAAGCTAGAAATAATGAAGTAAGAACTAAGTCAAAACTGCTATGAGAAAAAGGTTTATGAAGTAAACCTGCTTTTGCCTTCTTTTAATTAAAAAAAAAAAAAACAGAGTCAAGCTGTCTATATTTTTCCACAGACTTTTGAGTTCAGACATCACTGCATCTGTGCTATACAACTCTAGTTGCAAAAGCAAAATATAATGTTATGAGTTCACTTTGGATGATATTTAGCTATTTGCCCATCAGCCAAGCAATATTCTATTCAAGGAAAAATTAAATTGGTGATGAATGGTAAGTGGAAGGGTAATATTGGCCTACACAATGTATTATGCAATATTTTGAAAACTACTTCTTCAACATAGGGAACACTTAACAGTCAATTCTTGGCTTTTGGAAGGAACAGCAGTTGCACTCAAGACACTATCAACACATTCAGTGAATAAAACAATGTATTTTCAAGTTATCCTCTTTTTTAAATATATTTGAAAGCAGTAAGAAAAATAATGTATTGTATTCCAAAGAGGTAAAACTTCTCAGGAGCACTATTCCTCTCTTTTAGCCCCATTTAGCACTACAATTAACCAGTCCTGGTTCATTAATATGTTCTCTCTGCACGCATACAAAACATCCAAGTTATTGATAACTTTACTTCAAAACACACATAGCACAACCTTTGGTTAAAAAAAAGAAAAAAAAAGAAAACTTGAAGCAATTTGGCAGGAAAAGGAGTTCTTTATAAAATTATTGTTTTAAAGGCATGTTCAATACTTCACACAAATGAAATCCTATTACTAAAACAGATACTTCAGTAAATATGGTTCATATGAGAAGGTTGTATAATCAGGACTGGGATGGGTCTCAGAAACACAAATTCAATTTCTGGCTCAAAGGCAGTCTACCTCAATGATCCCAAACAAGCAACTTGAGATACTTCACCCAGTTTCACATCTATGAAAAGGAGACAGTATTTTTGTAACAGACAAGGCACTAACCATCACATTCCTGAATCACAAAAACCCCAAAAAAGCACATTGTAAAGTCACCATTTTACAAGGCCTATAAAAACCTTATTAGCTTATGCTTTCAGGGTACAGGGGCCCATCTATGTCCATTTCTCCCTCTAGAGAGGCTGATGGAATCAGTGCAGCTTTATTTGCAGGGAAGAGCTGTAACAGGCATTGTATTGCAGAACAGCTTGTTCAGAATAAAATTTCTAAACAGAAATGGGGAACTGTTTTCAAAAACTCTAAAAGCAAATGACCCTAAGTAAGAACCAAGCTAAACAGACCTAGACACATGTAAGAAACCAAATTTGGGTTCTCCTAGAATTCAGCATTTTCTCTTTCTAATGTTACAAAATAATTCTACTAAAACCCTGCAATTCAATTTTGAACTTCAATATTAATCATGCAGCCCTTCAAGGCACTACAGCATCCTTGTCCAAAAGCATACTGACTTCTGTTCAGCAAAGCAATCTTACAAACTGAGTCAAGACACAAGCTACCTATAGTTTTGATACCTAAAAACCCCCAGAAAACGTATTCATCCTAGTCCTTAAAGCCACTTTCTAAACCACATCTGAACAACAATGATGCAAAAATGCAGGGATTTGTTTACAGCACAGCTCTATTAACATTCGTGGTGCAATAAATTACACCCTTTAAAAACCTTAGTGGTTCCAAAGTCTGAATCTGGTCTCTTTTTTCTGAAATTTATCAGACACCAGGAATCAATTCTCTCCCAAGAATTACATCTGTTCCAACTACAAGAACATCAGCTTATGATTAAAAAAACCCAGCATTAGGTCGAAATAATATAGATGCAGCCATATAACACTGAGATTTTCACTGTACTGCTACTTTTGCTTAGCATTTCTAATAACTTTATTCAAAATATTGAATTGCAGAATTAAAATACAGGTTTAATATTACATTTTAAGTACTGCTAAAATGCAATTTAAACAGAAGTGTATTACTCAAGTTCACAGAGATTCCCTAAACTTTCAGTAATCTTTTATTCCTTAAAAGAATGGTCTTGCAGTAGAAAAAGTAGTAAGAAAATGTACTGCCTTACTTGGACAGCCTGAGCTGTGCTACACTAAGTGACTGAATACAAATATTAATACTACTGATGAATATTACTGAACAAATAAAAACAAGCCATTAGAGCCTTTTAACTTGAAAAACAACTGACTGAAAACAAACATGGAGTTCTCAACTTCAACATTTTTTGACCATTATAGGCCTGGCTAGAGTACAAGGCAAAATTTCTTGCTAACAAGCAACAGCATAGCTGTTTAAACCACAAAGCTCTTCCTCACTTTATATTGCAAGGAAAGGCCTGTCATTCTTTAATTATTACATTCTGAAATCTTCCAGGGTTCCCATAGGGACTCCGGAAAAATAAACATCACTATAACTACTTCAGTAAAATAAAGATGACAAAAATAGGTTTGGGGGTAGGTTAAATGATTTGTAGCATCAGCATTAGTGGAAAAGTTTGTAAAACCTCCCTCCTCTGTAACTTTTTTATCACCTCTAGAAGAGATGTAAATGTAGAGCTAAGAAGCTTTTAGAAGAAAGATAGACATCCCACTCCACCCCCTTCAAAAAAAAAAAAAAATTACCCTAGGAATGTGCTCCAAATAGCTTGTTCCAAAAAAGGTCAATTTGCTTTATCATCAACGTTGTTTGTCTGCTGTGCAAACATCTGCTGCTCTTGTGGCAACAGCAATGTTAAGTATAGAAAACTTGGCCTGGCCTGGGGTCTTGGAAGGCTTCTCTTCAGACAGCATTTCATCCATGCAGCTTTCCAGACTAGGAGGTTAACAGGCAGACCTTTTGCAACCAGTTTGGAAGTATCCTACAAGCCTTACAGACAGAGCTAACAGTCAGGCCAGGGAGAGCTTTTCAAAATAGTGTGCTCCAAGGGGTCCCTGAAAAGCAGATTTGCAGGAACACAGCCCTCATTTACACCATTGTCTGCCTAAACAGAATCAGCACAAAGTTAACAGAAAACAACACCCTCTTTTTCTGCAGGAACTGCGGTTTTCTTCATGGTTGATATGAGAGCGACACACCTTTTTTGCAGATTTTGAGAGCAAGAGGCAGAATGGGCATTTCCTTTGGTGCTGCATTTAGCCTACAGAAATACACAGGGGCATAGCTGATTTTTTCCACACACACATATCCCTTTTCAAAGTTGCTAGCCATGTGTGATACAGATTAGGGAGCAGCAGTTTGCTGTGCCAAAGAGAACTCTTCCTCCTCCAAACGAGGGTAAGTGTGGGCAGCCTGGATGCTGCCTCCTCCTGCTGGTTTTCAACTCAGCAAGAACTGGAAATTCATTATATAAAACTTTTCAGTATGTTCTCTATGACCACATGTTGACAAGTCATACACAATGTTCATGGAGACAGCTGCTCTGAAAAATATTCTATGTTATCAATCTCTGTGGAGGAGATGGAGAGATAAGACTTGACCTATAAAATCTATTCTGTGAAAACACTTGGCCACACCACCTGGCCAGTACTTCCAATCTCACCCTGCCTGGGAAAACTGTGCTACCACCCTCTTGGCAAGATTCCTTACATTTATTCAATCAATTACACATGGCAAGGAAAAACAATCTCCCAATTCGCCCTCAGGGCGACCAATGTACTGATGGAGTAAGCTAAGCTGCGTTTTTAAACAAGATGAACCTGCCGTGACTATTCTTTCCATTTATTTACGTTTCCATGGGTCTTTCCCTACATTTCATGCTCTAGCCATTCATTCCATTTATGCCTATAATGCATACAAACAATAACATTCAGGAAAAGGAGAATAGTACCAGTGTTAGAAATTTAGATTTTTTCTGGTTGAAATTTAACCAGAACTCCATCAGAAGTAACATGTCAAACACATAGGAAAACACTCAGGAGGAGTCTAGCTGCCAAGCCAGGCATGCAGAGGAACATATGTTCTACCCCCTGGCCCTGGAAAAGCAGGATTTTATTATAATTACAACAAACATCCAGCAGAAGAGAGGCAAAACAATGGGCTCTGCAGTAGTGACATTGAGCTTCAACAGTCTGTTCATCATATTTACAGTGGGGAAGCAGTTACTAGCATTACTTACAGCCTATTTAATACTAAGGGTGTTATCTTTTAAACTCTTGGAGATAAAAGTCCACACCTTCCAAAGAGCTGATACAGGGATGGCAGTGACATGGTTGATAGCCCAATGCAGTTTAGCATTAGGATTATACCAAATGATATCAAAATAGTAAAACAGCTTTACTGAATACTTTATTAGCAAAGTTAGCCTCATGCTCCTGCCTTGCTCACTCTCCCTCCAGCTCCAAGTTTCTGTCTGCAGGGCTTGGGCAGGGCTAGCCCTGGAATTCAGATTTTCCCAGGCTAGCTTGCTCACAGGCTCCTGCTTCTCCCTCGCCTGCCAGTGCCCCTTCCCCTCCCTAGCACAGCACTGAAGGGAACCAGGGCTGCTGCAGGCATGGGGTGAAACTGAACACAAATGAGATGAAGATCACGTTGACTGTTAAAGAAAGTGAAGCAGGCCTGGAGCAGCAATTGGGAAAGTGTCCCCACAACCAATTTAAACAGAAAACAAAACATAACAGGACAGTGTTCAGGAATTCTTCCTGGTGTCTCGCTGATGCTGTATTTGCTTTTGGATAAACAAGCTGGCTAACTCTGCTAAGACTGTACCCTTGACTGACAGGTTGCAGTAAGATACCCATATCTTACTTCCCAAATTACAAAATACACTTCCTTAGTGATCCAGTCATCCCACAGCAAACCTAGCCTTCTGCCCACTGCACTGTTCAATGTAAAATGC